ATACTCCGAGAAAGAATTCACTTGTGAATGTAAACATTCTTTGCAAAGAATTTATTGATAAAAATTGTTAGATCTGGTTTTTTATCTTTTTTAAACGATATTGGTTGAGTTGTGGTCGATTTTTCTGAAAATAAGCGACTAGTGCTGACAATAAATCGTTAATATTGCCGCGTTGCTGCGCATCAATTATCATTGGTCACTCTGCATACGATGGACAATCGCACCCGTCAACAAATGTAATGGCTTGTGCATAGGATAACGGCACTGTCCATCATCCAATTCATTTGACTCACAATTCTTTACGATTGAAACGATTTCTTCGTCCGTTGGTATTTCACGAGCAGTTACATTGTAATCAATTACCATATAATCTTCGGCATCCATTGGTTGATCAAGAGGCAATCGCTCAATAAGATCTTGAATTTTTCCGATAACATCAACTACAACCGTTTCAGAATCGTCATTCAAATTGCTTCGCTAGTGTACTTTCAACTTAACTTTTTCTGCCTGGAGAAAGAGTAGTTTATATAATAAATTTCATATCACTATTCGAACTCGTCACTTCTGTATTCCATTTTCCTCTTAGACTCTACTCGCGAACTATCACTATTTATGATCAAGTGATCAAGTTGGGGTTCGAAAGTTGTGATTATAAAAACTTCACATGATTGATTATCGATGAACAGCTATACTACAACATTCGCTTAAGATTATCTTACCTAGAGACATGTGTGAGTGCAAACACGCGACGAGTGGAAATTACGTAAGAAATGCTTAAAATTAAATGATGTCTCACATGGCGCATGATCTTTTGGTAGACCTACTTTCAAATGAATTAAGCATTTGCGTATTTATAATTCACTCGCTCAATTTTTGACACTTTATAGTTGGTGTGTGCAACATTGACAACAGATAATTTTCCAAATACAAATTTTTTCATTGATAAATTATATTGCTACTCCAATGAATGATAAAGATCATATATCTCAGTCAGCTAGTTATCTTTCCCAAAATGGATAAAATGGATAAATGATATAATACTTAATACATAAAACTATGTAGAAAATACAAATAGATATTTCTTTTGTACAGCTTATCGGAAATTGGATAGAACGATTTCTGCCTACGAATAATTTGAAAAAGCTTAACTATTACAGTTTGCCATGCCACAGAGCCAGGTTTGGCCGCAGAGATAGTCGCTAATATAGCAACCCCAGTCAGAGAAATAGCTGTATAATATATGTTTCAGTGGTACCACTGTGGTAGCATCAATCGGATAGGAACAAATTGTTCACAATTTTTTTTCTGTCGTCTCGATGGGTTTTTGTGGGGCAAGAAAAACTATGCATGGCTTTTCGTAAAGATATTGTCTGAGGTAACGAAACTCCCTACCACGATATTCACAAGTTCTATCAAACCTGCTATCTCTGCTAATTGAACGGTGTTCAAACTCACTTTTTTACGTCTTTTTATGAACAGAGATCGGTACAAGCTATTATCAACTCGGAACTGGCGCTTTTCATTTACCTCCAGCACAATCAAGCCAATCAGTAAGTATTTATCGTAATCAACAACTATTAAATCGTGCATCATTGTAAAATCGGATTTCTCGAGTCAATGCCTTATTTGTGAACGTAATTGGTACATTGTAACACCAACCGACTGCTTCAGATGGCGGATTATTTTGCGATGTGCTACTGTTTTTGGAACAATAATGTTATTAATTCTACATTCAGATCATTTGCGGCTCGACGGGTAAGCAAAGTTTCGAAACTCTGTCTGACCAGTTAATGTCTATAGACTCAACAAGGATTACCTCTTCTTTTGTCTCTTCTTTAGCATTAGAAGTTGGCCGAAGTATATTTTCAAGTTGCCTCTGGATAATTTTTTCATTGCTGGCGTTCCTAGAGGGTAAATTGTCTACTTTTTTTTTTTTTACAAGATTGATAGCGCTTCGTGTAGCGGCCTGGATATTGTTTTTGCTGTCAGATTTTTCGTATATTTTTTCGTAAACTACTTCTTTATTGAAATTTTTTGTAGATGGGCTCGTAAGTCACCAAATTAACATGTCTTCCACCCTTAGTATTTTTCTTCTCCCTGATAATTCTTTTTCTAACTGGTTTCTACGAGTTGCATTCACAATTTTTTTCGGGGATATGGATTGTACTTGGAGCAAACTGCCTGTCTCTTCGTCAGTAATTTTATTCATCGTATTAACAGTTGCCAAATCAATTCCCATAGGTAGTAGGGTCATCTTGCCGGTTTTCTTCTACTAAAATTCCTCTTTCAGCAATATCTTTTAATTCCTGTAAATACTGGGCCTTTCAGTCAAATGACGAGGTTTTGGAGGTGAAGGATGGAGTGGGAACTGGAATAAAAATTCCAATAAAGTATTGAAAATATCTTTCCAAAATTTTCGTCCTTTACTCTCACTTGTGGTAGATCATTTTGTACAGCCGATTGGCTAAGGGTTGTTAGAGAAAATGCCACCATTTCCATAATCAAACAAAGTTGGCCTTACGCACAAAGCACTTATTTTTTAACTCTGTAATATTCATTTATACCAGCAATGAGTAGTTTTTTCATCCGATAAAAAAGATCATTCGGTAAAGGAACGACAAAGCAATAGGATCGTCATTCGGTAAACCTAACAATAACGGACGAACCCCTTGCCTCATATGTTTCTGGCGTATCAAATGGCGTGAATTTTTCCTGAGATAATTTTTGTATATCTGTCTGCTGCGCATCCACCATTTCTTGCTGATATTTGGCTCTAAGCCAAGTTCTGAACAAAACAGGAGTGAAGTGTTAATAGGAGTATTGGCGGGGTAATCTGCAGGGACTGACGCGAATTTTCCTGACATTTTGGATTTTAATGTTTTATTCAATTAATTCGGTGAAATAGGATTAGCCATTTCTATTTTTCTGAGGCGAATAATCCTTCGATTCTTTTTTTAAGTCTGGAAATACTTTCTTCATATAAAGTAATTTGATTAGTTTTAGCGACAATAATAGTTTCGATTGACTTAATTTCTTGATCTCAATTGTTTCGTAAATTTATATCTACCTCGTGATTTAACTCGTCTCGCAATTCAATATCGATATGGGATTGTGCAAGTGCACAAATGCTAAATCTAGCGAATTATTTCTTTTATTTTATAATTCGAAAAAAAAAAATATGACTGAATCGCCACACGAGGATGCTCTCGTATTTACCTCTAAGCCAGTAATTTATATTGATCTTAAAAAAATTCGAATTGTGAGAAATTATTTCCTTTCTTACAATCATCACACAATTTCTCAGCAGTACGATAAGAGCCCTGGCGTCTATAATAGAGAATGCGACAGACTCATTGGCTGATATGAGAGGATGGTTAGATAAACAAGCGTTACATCAAATTCATAAGCCCCGCCCGAAAACCATTCTGTGGCGTAGCATTCAACACAACATGTGTTCGAAGAGGTACACCAATGGGATACGCTATACACCTTTTACGTAGAAAGACATATATGTTTTGTGCCAATTGCGTAAATGTTGCTTCACGCTATAAAGCGTCAGTACCCATTGGCGTAACGACGAACTGTCTCGGCCTTACGGCAGAGAAAACATTCCCTCCAAACTATTGTTAAGGCTATGCTAAGAATCTATAACAACCCCCGACTGTCCTCTTAAATTTCAATCCCGGATCTTTTAGAAATTAAGCTTCGAAATCGCTGAATGGCATTTGTTGCTCGATCTGCAAATAATGCGTTTCTGCATTATTTGCATTTAGGGAGAGATTTCCTCTGTATCAATTTTGTTTGGTTCATCGATTTACTAACACTAATGCGTTGATTAACTTTAATATCATACGATGTTTTTGTATTACCGACAGCTAAGCTTACATACGTTTACTTTCTTAGTTCAAACGTTCTACTTTTTGAGAAATAATTAACAGTCCTCGAAGGTAAATAAAAAATGAATAGAAATATATCAGTAACTACCGCACAAAAACCTATCTCGCAAACCGATACAGGATTCAACGGTTGCCACCAACTTTGAAATCAAAGCCCTCAAAACTCCACCAACATTGAAATATTAGTCGCAATAAAACACAATTGATGCAACGAAATGATTAGAAAAGGATAATGCGATTTCTCGATTAGGCCTTTCTAGTCTGCAACTATGGTTAACTACAGTTTTTAGAAGAAGTAAATAAGACCCTGCAAATATTGTGCTGCCTGTTTCACAAACTTGCATTTACCGCAAATATTTTAGAAAATTATAGTACGTAAAGATCATCATCAAACAAGATTGAGATGCTGCAAATTAAAATCTTATACTGAAATAGTTTACGCTACAACCAGCGTTAGCAAAAATTAAATCGAAATCTTTGAAATTTGCCATTAAACTTTAGGTTTTGTTACACCGATCCTTGTTAATTCGGAGTTTTGTGACATCATTGTTTGCCTAAATTGAGAATTCCAGTAACCGGCATGTGATTGCAACGTGCAGCGCTTTGTACGCTTGATTCATCTCATCTTACAAATCATCTGTTTCACTCGTGATGCCACAAATCCAGTATCAAAAAAATTCAAAGACCTTTGTTCCGTAAAGAATAACCGAGGAAAAAGAACCAAAGAACCACGCAGACATCCATCACCCCCATATTCTAGTGATGTCTGCTTCGTTTAAGAAAAATACCCGTACTCCACGTCGACATTCTTTGTCTGCGGAGAGCCCCAGTTCTGTAGCTAATGGAATATCGAGCCTGTCAGGGGGTAGATTGACAGCCAGCTATCCTCCCCTCGTCTCGTCGCCCGAGGACTCTGAGATGGGTGGACTTGAACGCTCGTCAGTTGGGGTTGATCAACATGCTTATGCTGACAAGTGCAACCGACTGATGAATTTGCTGGGTGGCACTTCTGCTCTCTTAAAAGGCCTTCGCGAGAATAACAATCGCTGGCTTATCCTATATCCACACCAGACTCCGCAAAAAATCCAGCGCGCTCAGTCATTTTCGGAAAAAGGTAATAGTAACGATCGCTATCCGTTAAAGAGGTCAAACAGTTTTTCCGTCTCGCAGAATGGAAATTCAGATTTGATGGATGAAGATAGTCGACTCGTGACGAGCGTGGACACCCTCGAGTTCCATACCAGGCTAAATGTGCTCAAGCTGGAAATGAAATCGCACGACCATCAATCGACAGAGGAAATCATGGAAAGTCTCGAGAGAAGTTCCATTGCTGAGCTTCTTAACAAGCGCATCGAGAGTGGTCTAAAACATCTGTCGAATCTCCACGCTCGAATTGCCGATAAAAGTTCAAAGGTTTTGGTTGCTGGCGACCTTAATGCTGGAAAGAGTACTTTGGTAAATGCTCTCCTCCGTCGACAAGTGTTACCTGTAGACCAGCAACCGTGTACAACAATGTTCTGTGAGGTCTTGGATGCTCGCGAGAATGGTGGGGTCGAAGCTATTCATGCTATCAAAAATATTGAATCTTACAATCGGGAAGATCCTGCAACTTTCACTGAAATACAATATGCTGACCTATACGAAACTGTTTCTGAACATGGTGATATTTATAAACAATTGAAAATTTATTGTCGTGACCGTCGCATTTCGGAAGAAAGTCTGCTCCATAATGGAGTTGTGGATATTGCGTTGGTCGATTGTCCTGGGCTTAATAGCGATTCCTTAAAAACAATGGCCGTTTTTGCAAGGCAAGAAGAAATCGATGTCATTGTATTCGTTGTCAGTGCGGAGAACCATTTCACTCTTTCGGTAAGTTTACGATTTACTTGCAGTTTTTAGTTTGATATTATTAATAAGTAGCAATTGATTGTTAATAATTATCACATTATAGGCCAATCAATTCCTGCGAACCGCCTCCAATGAAAAAGCTTATCTGTTCATAATCGTCAATAAATTTGATGAAATCAAAAACAAGACAAAATGCGAAAAGATAATCTTGGATCAGATTCAGCAAATATCACCGAGGACTTACGAGCACAGTGAACATCTCGTTCATTTCGTAAGTGCTAACTCCATCAACCTCGACAATCCCTATGATCAAAAGGTTGCTGAATTTGAGAAAATGGAGGAAGACCTGCGCAACTTTGTATTGAAAAAACGGTCAAAATCAAAATTAGCTCCCGCTGAGCATTATTTGAGTAACATTCTTGCCGACATTTCTGTACTTTCCGAGTATAACCATGACAAGGCTGAGGAAGAATATCAGAACGCTGTCTCAGAATTTAACGAAGCCAAACCGCTATACGATACATTACGCGTGAAACGCAATCAAGTCATCGAAGAAGCAGAGAAAATTGCTGAAGATACTAGTGCGAATATCCATAAACATGCAAAAGAAAATCTTGAGAAGGCTATTAATGGCATTTACAACTTGCCCACAAAATGCGAATGGTCTAGCATCCTTTACGTTTGGCAGTATGTTCTTGATGTCAAGGACGAAGCACTTGGTTCAATTGAGCAGGCAGCGCGAGAGAACGAAGACTTTGCAAAGAACATGACCGTTGAAGGCGCTGAAAAGATTGAATCACTAGCAGATGCGAATCAACTAAGCGGAGAAGCTCGTCAAGTTAATATTAACAAGCTATTTGGTAAACAACCCACAGAATTATTGATACACATAGGACCAACCGATCTCTTCAATATCGATTTCGAATTTACTGACAAACTTGGCGAGAATCTCAGTGATAAACTACAGATGGCTACGCTTTCAGGCGGTGCATTGGTGGTGGTAAGTTGGAATTTGAATGCGTGCACCAGGCATTTATGGCATGTGACCTAAAAATGACCGTTTATGCAGGTTGCTAGTAAATACCTCGGCTATAAATCAGCCTTGACTACTTTATGGCGATTTGGAAATTTCGTTGGCTTTGATAATATGAAAAAATTGGCCATTCCACTTCTTCTCATAGCAGGTATGTATTGGTGTTGCATGCATGTCCACATAAAGCATAGCTGTTTGCTAGTCGCGCGCTTGTCATTTCACGTCTAATGCAATTTCTTGTTAATATGTTACGCTTGAAAGGTGCTGGAACCACATACTATCTCTTCAGTGATATGCAACGCGTTGTTACCTGCAAAGTACGGCAAAAGGTCCGTAAGCATCTTATAGCCGAGAATTACGCTGACGAAGAAGGCAAACGTTTAGCTCGTTATGGACGTAAAGTTATGCGCAAGATTACCAATGATCTTCAGATCCGTTTCCATGATGCCGTCCAAGAGCAAGAAAAGAGATGCAAGAGGTTGCGTGAAGCGTTAAAGGAAACGGGCGAGGCCAAGCAGTACTTTGGTGATGTATTCAAGAAATCCGTAGAAATGTCGGAAACTTTGAGATATCTCAAAATTGATTTAGAAGGCAATTGACTGTGATTTAAGCCATCGACAAAGTTAAGCATCTGTATACGTATTACAATTCTACGTCAATTATGATTGCACAACGTAATAATTATTGTTTCAGATTATATAAGGATTCATAAATTCTGAGGCAGCTGTTTTATCCATTTTCAATTTTGGTCATTTAAATAAATGAAGTTGTATATTTTCCCGCATATTTTCGTAGATCACGTGTATAGTATGGTAAACATTGGCCTGTGTTGTACAATTAAATTGCCACACGACAAATTATTATTATTATTATTGTAGTATAAGTTTATAAACATTAATTAATATATTCACTTCTATCCGCGTCATGGATGAATTCGACGATATCGCACTAAGGGTACAACAAAAGCTTGACGAGACTTTCGCAGTGCTCAGGAAACAGCCTTCTTTGGTTCGACGTGAAAGAGATTCTCCTGAATTACCAGAGTAAGAGACGGCTCTGATCTCTTTTCATTAGACGACTCAGTCGTTATAACAGACACGATTTTTCTCCGTAGGCCTAAGCGTATAAAGCTTTCGGACAAATCTTTTCCTTTAGAGGCCGTTCATAGACCCTTAGATCGGGATAATTTCCTGAAGCGAGTAGCTACTTTCGATATATCCTTTTCTATCATGTTATAACTTATCAATGGTAATATGTGGCTTTCTTCAATCCCGTATACTTTCCTTAATTCTCTATTTATACACATTAACATGGCTGCTCAAGCCAAATTGCTTGAGTCCACTGGAATGCGCAAAATATGGTTGGATTAACACAGATCAAGACGTACTAGAGTGCAAGTATTGTGGGAGTAAGCTTATGGTGCGATTACCAAAACCCGAGACTGTAATAGGACGTAATCCAAGTAAGCTGCCTATGTGATATTTACAGATTATAATTTGCGGTGGAAACTCAACGTTATTGTTTATATAAAGGCTATTACACCCAAATTGAACAAATGGAAAATCAATTTGTCTCTCAATTAAGTTCTGCACATATTGTCGGTTGTCCTTGGCGGGATCAACCGTGTGACGGTACGTACGTGTATTGCTTTTGCCAACAATCGGTAGGCGTCTACGTCCTGACACGCAGTATATGTATGTTTACAGACTCTATTTACAAGTTTCCGATTTCGCATCCATCTGAAGTTCTTGAAGATTTTAGAAAACGAGCTACAGCACTTTTGGAATTGGGTGATAAGCTACCTGTCGTTGACGTTGACTTTGTACGGAAATTATGTTCTTGATCTTGATATATTGATTGCTTTACGTTTTACTTACTTTTTATTATATCTGATATCGTGCATAATTAGTCTGAGGAATTAATACAAACGATCATACAAGCACTTTCATTGGACGAATCTGTCGATGAAAAAGTTGCCCTAGCTGCTGGATGCCTCTCAATATTTGGCTATGAGCTGCATAGCTCAAAACTAGGAGAAATGGTTTTGTGCAGATTTTGCTTTAATAGATTACCTTTACACATGTTCCGAAGTCTAAGAAGGCAAAGAGAGCTTGGACGCACCGATCATGGATTAAAGGGCGTTGTTTTAGCTGATGGACTTGCTGTTGTTGCCAACAATTCGGATGATCGAGTTTTCAATCTTCAACATCAACATCAGTGGTGGTGTGCATGGCTTACAGGAAATGGCAAAGAGATTGAAGATGTTACAGCAGAAGAACTGGAAAAGCGGAAACCTGGATGGCATGTAACACTGGAGTGTATTATAAAATATCCAGCTAGTGGTACGGAAGAAGATTCGAAACAGGTAGAAAAAAAGTTTTCGTTGACTTGACTAATATTGTAGCTAATGTACCAATTTATGTGTTTTCCAGAAAGACCATCGCGCAGAAAATATCCGTAATATACTATCACCCAAGCGAAAATTAGCAATTAATCAGTCTACCAACGTTACCGAGCGAGCGCAGCCAAAATCTGTAAGTAAACTTTTTGCAGGCACAAGTAGCTCCGAAACAAACGAGGAATCACAGCAAATGAATCTCGTAGAGAATGTGGCCACAATATCTATGGAAGTGGATCAGGAGAGTCATCAATTGCCTGAGCAGTCTGATCAACAACAGACTGATTTGATGCGGATTGACGAAAATGTTCAAGACCAGAATCCGGAAGCCGATGAAAGCTTGCTGTCGTCGCATCTGCAGGTAGCTACGAACAACGAACAGACTGTATTTGAAGCGTCAGATGATCATCAAGAACAAGAATTTAATGATGAACAACGACAACCCGCAGAATTAGAGGGCATAATTGATACACAGGAAATACTGGCCAGCATGGGCGATTTAGGAGCCAGTCCGGTGGTATCAGGAGACACACCGTTGCCTTTTACTCCAAGTGCTCTCGAAATACCAGACGTGCCAGAAGCTACAGCATCTCCACTATCATCTCTGGCAACCGCAATGGTTGACGACTCTGTCGAAGTTCGAAGCGTGCAAGGTACAACAGAAACCGCTCCACCGGAACATACAAACGAGGATACGACCAGCGTGCACGTTCATGAAAATGAAGGAAAGAACAACGTATCAACAGCTACAATACAAGTTTCTGAAGATGAACAGAGAATTTCAATGGAAATGCCTGATGAGGAAGGGGTCGATAAACCAGTAGAGAAAATTAATGAGTCCGTCGAAAACGAAAGAGATTTTGAGGGAGAAGACCGTATAGAACAAATAGAGAGGGAAGAGGATGAGCAGCAGTATGGTAACGACGAAGGAGAAGAAGGAGAAGAAGTTGAACACAGCGTAGAAACAGAAGAGGATGAGTTAATAATACACGAAGACAGTTATTACGAAATCGGTAAAAGTGATATGGATGTAGAAGGCAATGTAGAAGGCAATGTAGAAGATGATGAGGATGATGAGGATGATGAGTCGATGGATCACGATGATGCGGCCTTCAGCGCCATTGGTGACAGTGTCGAAAATGCAGTAGTCATTGATGATTCCGATGAAGAACCTGCTTCGCGAGTTATTAGTGAAGATGAAGATTATAATCGGAACTCAACAAGATTTCTTGAGGGCACCGTTTTTCCTGGAGGAGGGCAAATACTTGATTTTCATCCTAATCAGTATCTGACCGAAGAAATAGTAAGGATGGAAGAAGCACTATATGAACATCAGGCAGATTTTGGCGCTGAAGATAACGGCACACCTTTACCTTTCGGTGGTCATCTGCAAGATGACCGTTCTACTCCCGATCATTGATTATCATGTGATAAAATAGTATTATGTGATTGGTTCTACGCACATGCACAATATAAAGTGGTAATGTAGAGAATAAAATAATGTATTCGCGCTTTGAATGTCAATGCGCTGAGGAAAATAAACAAAATAAACTGTATACAGTCGTCTCATAGGGTTCTGCAATAAAGTGCATCGCTTTCTGGTCTATACCACTTCAAATGCGTAGATCGCTTTCCAACTCTTGGAGAAATTATTCAGGTCGAGATACGAATAGCTCGTCAGCACCTTTTAATGCGTCTGAAACTGCGATCGCTGAAGTAGAAGGAAAAAAGGAGGAGGAGGAAAGAATAAAAACCTCAGGACCATATCCGTTATCTAATAGTTGGACTTTTTATCGTGATAAGTAAGTTTCTCATTGAAATGAAACAGCGATTATTATCTTAGCAAGACCATGAGCGCGTGGGTACCAAGTGGCCAGTTAAGTTGTGATGCGTGGTATTCTGTCTTATTATGAGTTTGTATACCTCGCGCTTGTTATTGTCACGCTCTCATCTTTATGTCTGTATATGTACTTTGCTCATACGAAAGGTATGTTGCAAATGCTACTCCTGAAGAATATGCTCAGAATCTAGTAGTCCTTGCGACGGTAGCGACCGTTCAGGTACTCGTGCATAACGCTCTGTATACTCTCTATTCTATCCTTTCTGTTTGCAGACTTGCACTGTTCACGATATTTATATGATTTGATTGATGCAGAACTTCTGGGCTGTTTATAATAACATTCCCGGGCCCGACCAGTTGCAATCACGATGTAGTCATCATTTTATGAAGAGTGGAATAAGACCAGTATGGTAATTATTTAACAGAATATAGCATGTGACTTGTTACAAGATTTGTTTATTGAATTTGCCGATTTTGTGGGGGGTTGTTTTTTTTTTTGCGCTAAAAGTTAATGCGATTGAAATCTACTACATTTTGTTCATAGGGAAGACCCGAGAAATGAAAATGGAGGCGCATGGTACTTTCGAGTGGACAAGTCAGATACAGCGTTTGTCTGGAGGGAATTGTTAATGCAGTTAATAGGAGAGCAGTTCGAAGACTGTATCGCAGAGGACGATGATATTTTTGGATTGTCAGTTTCGTCACGTTATAATACTGACATCTTTACGATGTGGAATCAAAACGCGAATGCACCGAATCTGTCAAAAGTACTAGACAAATTGCTTGAAATTCTCAAGCCGGTTCAGCTTCAACTCCCATACTATAAAGGTGAGCAAAAATCATGACAAAATGCTTGCAGACATTTCAAGAAATATTTGACGCTAAAGACTATTCTGATTTCAGCACATAAGGACCATTCAAGTTTCAAGAAATCTGACTCACCAGCTGCAAATGGGCAAATGTTGGGATGAACGTTTTTCAATAGCTATTGTTTTATGAGAAATGGATATATAACTTATGGAGAACAATATCTGTGACTCAATACAAGTATTTATGATAACTGTACAACATCTGATTATAACATATTTAACGCATAATATATATATATATATATTTTTGCCACCCCGAAATTTGTTAGAGATGATGCGTTTCTTGAACGCATATCATGGATTCACGTTAAGAGAATATTGCCAAGCTTGGTATCGTTCATCCGAAACTTATCCAACTAGCCACTTGACAGATTGTATGGCAGCATTTTATTTGTATTAATGTAGTTGAATTAATTGCTGCCTAAATCAGCAAGCTCTTGGGAGAAAATTGTCTATTATTATGAAACTGATTGCATTCCGTGTGACATTCTCATTTAGTCGCAGTCTTTAGATATGCAATAACGTCGTTTCGGTCTTTCTCTTTCTTAAATCCTGGGAATGCCATCTTCGTGCCTGGGATGTATCTGGTGAAAGTCGAACCGAAAAAAACGACTTAGCATAGGCACTACTTGTTGACATAATACAAGACGAAATAAAAACAGCGACAGATGTTTTTACTTTTTAGGATTTTCGAGGTAATCGAATAAAGTATTTTCATTCCAAATAATTCCTGCTTGTTGATTGGCGGCTGTATAAGTGAAGCCAGGTACAGTGCCAGATTTACGACCGAATAGGCCATGGAGATTCGGCCCTACTTTGTTAGCACCTCCTGCCTCAACCGTATGACACAACGCACAACGAGTCTTGAAACTGTCCAAAGAGAGCAGAATGTTAGCTATAACATCAAATCACTCAAAGACAATTTATAATTGCCGTCCTCCCCCGTATTAAATGTAATGAATTGACTTACAGTTTGGCGCCATTTGTGGCATCACCCTTGGCTATTTGATAGTTGAATCATTGAATATCAGCGTTAGTAATCTTTCAAGGCATCAACATGTTCGTTTAGCTGGCATGTTGAGAAAGAACTCACCTGCGTCGAACGGCATTTTCGAATTGAAGATATTTTCAACAGAACAGATTCAAGTTGATTAGATGCAAAGGCAAAAAAGGTCTCTTATATTGAAAAAATTCAACAAGTACGATACTATTGGTTATGTCCCAATTCGTATTCCGGTTTTCCCCGGGTTATTCGGTGTCACGGCAGGTGTCAGTTTAGTTGCGGTAACGTGACTAAAGGTTGATCATATATATTAATATGGAGAGTTCGAGAAACAAACGCGGCTTGCCGAAATTGCTTGTGATAACAATAAAAATAAATCAACGGTTATTGATATAGCGATAGAATACGAAAATCACGGTGGGCTGCAGTCACAGGGTTACACAGTTACCGTTGGTGGCGAACATGTGTTAAGTCTAGAATACTATGTTAAATCATGATGACATCACTTATTACAGTCGACCTCCCCTACAGTCGTCTCCTATACAGTGACTGTATTATGCGAATTGAGATGTTGTGTACAATGAAATTTATTGTATCATGCGCTTCTGGCTTTTTGGTGAATTAATCGTGAATATTAGGATAGTTTTTCCCTCTTCCCGTTTGTCAATCGAGGAGACTTCATGTTATTTTCTATCAAGAATGGATGCCGATCAATCACTTTAGGACATGCCCTTGAAAGACCTCAAATTGTTCCAAGAATGCCGTGTTTTAGATCATACATATTAAACAAAGTTTGTTCATGTCAATCGATAATCACAACGTAGTATTCTGTTGTAGCTAGGTCTGGTATCTTGAGGGAGATAGCATGTATCATTTTAGTTCACTCATGCCTGTAACCGGTCAGCGACATTATCAGTTAATACAGCTCAAATTGAATAACACACTAGCGTTTACCATCAAAGTTTAGCTTTTAAAACTCAACCAAGTGTACAGCTTTTTTGTCATTTTGTTTAGAAAACGGAAAATTTGGAAATTTTCATTTTTACAACACGTTATGTGTCTACTATAAAAATCTTCAAAAGACCAATGGTATTAAAATAATTAGCCCACAGTAATATGACTCAAATAATCTCACTACATGGTTTTACGCAGACATTCTCATTCGCCATTTAAGGTTAAGATGTGTAGAGGTGTCAAGAGCACGTTTCCAGAATTTGTCTATTACCATGACAGAGAGTTGAAATAATCTCATAAACACATTCATCAATGTCGAGCATGGGGAAAGGAATTCCTTGCATGTAAATGGAATTTAACATTAGATGCAAACCGTTACTTCACATGCAATGTCTGATTCAACCAAAGTCCCGCTTTATCCAGTACGCTCGACTTCTGACATGCACACAGAGATAGTTTTGTTGACTTCTCTTTCGACGATATTGTCAACTCTGGAGATTTTATGCTCAAACCTGAATTCAACATTAATCTAGTTCAGTGCTGCGATGGTAAAGGTCTACATGGGTGATCCGTCAATACTAATAGGTTATTAATCTGAATAGGTTGGTTCCCTTTTGAAAGAAGAAATTGCATACTAAACACATTCTGAATCAGAAAATATTTTTTCTGTTAGCTTCAAACAATCCATTGCCAAGTCAAAACCTGCTTCATAACACGATCGGACAATAGGATGATTCATCATACGTTACGTCTTTATGACGAATATGAGAATTCTTTTCCGAGTGTGTACAAGAACAACTACAATCCGATCATCGTATGTAAATGGACAAGCAAGATTCAAAAAGTTTAATGTACGATTAGTGCAGCATGTAGTAAATGTATAATCTCCCAGAGGTAAAACAAAAGAGCGCGAGATATTAATTTATATAGATTGTTGACACCGAAAGAATTAATTGTAAAGTGATTTCACAAGGTGATAATAATATTGCCATTTCGCAACTCGAACTCATCTCGCTACGCACACATCTTCCAATATTTCTCATTCTTTACTGCGTTAATCAAGGTCTACGTCGACGGGGTGTTGGAAGCGCGTTCATAACGACAATTAACAAGGATCCAACAGCATGTTTGTTTTTTACACTATTGTTAATTATATTAATATTGGATGAAAGACACGTTATAAAATGGATGGTTCAACAAATGAGCATTTGCGAATGTTCTGAACGATGATATCAACGCAAATATCAATGAAATTACACATAGTCATTTAGACGTATCATAACGAATTTTTGCATCCCATTGTCTTTCTGGAAAGATCCATCATCAATAGAGGAAATAGGGTTATCTACGTTCGTATTGCGTACTTCTTCAATTGCTTTTCTGGTGATCTATGTTGTTATAAAATTTTTATTAAAATTATTGCAATGCTTGTTTTCTTAGGAATTATATTAAATCATACCTCTAATGCTTGTAAAGTGTTTGCAGATGTCGCGTGTCAACATACTGTTAGACGAAATTTTCTCCTTTTATTTGTAGTTTTAATTCGTCGATAAACAAAGTTTGTTAAAATTTTCTTGGTTTGTTTTTTGCATTTCTCCTGAAGGCGAGTGTCTCTGAAATTTTGCAAAGCTGAATATATGGGGCATGCTGCAACAAAACCAGACAAAGTGAACATTCTGTTATGTGACATAAATAAGAGGTTGGACCAGTATGACTGATGACATTTTGAAAAGTAATAATGGTGTTTATGGACTTGTTAATTTTAATGCTCACTTTATTATTATCATGGATTTAATGTAAATTAGTTTCATAGTAATATTTTTATATATAGAGGTAATCCTATATTAATCCTGTTATGGTTTATATTCATCCCCATTCTGGTATGATAAAGGGAACATTAAAATTAACAAGTTCATAAGTAATGAATGAGCACTGCTATTACTTTTCAAAACATCATTAGTCAAATTAGTTAACTTTCAGCCACACAAGCCTCTTATTTCAGAATGTTCACTTTGTCTGGTTTTGTTGCAGT